TGCCAGCCTGCATGCCCTCAACTGCCCTCCCCTGCTCACCTGATTGCCCCCAAATACCCCCCTGTGCCAACCTGATCGCCCCTAACCGCCTCAGCCTTGGCCCCGCCACCATGGCTTTGTCCAGAAGGACATCCAGAAGGTCTCCTGGAAGGTCTCCCTGTCTAATTAGCATATTACCCTTTTATTAGTATAGATTATTGGAGCAGTTATCTAGTTAGAGTTGACATTTAATGGTTACTGCATCTTTAGAGTTGTATAATTATTTTTCATTACTAGAAAATTATATTTTTACGTATTATTATATTTTCTTAAATAAAGTTTAAACCCATGTGTGAACAACATATTGGTTTCTTTGATTTTTATTGTATATTTATGATGTAAAATTAAACTTTATGTTTCACAGTACTCCTAAGAGTCTTTGTAGAAAATTCCCATAATTATTAGCTTTGTAGGACTACTATCTACACCAGTGGTTCTCAACCTTCTGGTCCTTTAAATACAGTTCCTCATGTTGTGACCCAACCATAAAACTATTTTCGTTGCTACTTCATAACTATAATGTTGCTACTGTTATGAATCGTAATGTAAATATCTAATATGCAGGATGGTCTTAGGCAACCCCTGTGAAAGGGTCATTTGACCGCCAAAGGGGTCGCAACACACAGGTTGAGAACCGCTGATCTACACATTTGTTACATATCACCTATACGTCCTACATGGCAAGAATTATGAGGTACATGTAAGAAAATTAGAGAACTAGATATGGATAAACTAGAGGCCTGGTGCATGAAATTCTGTATGGGTAGGGTCCCTAAGCCTGGCCGGCGCTGATCGGGCCCTTCCGGCTGCCGAACAGGGCCTTCCTTCCAGCTGCCGGCTGGGGCCTCCCTTCCCCAGCTGCCGGCTGCTGACTAGGGCATCCCTTCGTTTCGTGCCACCTCCTGGTGGTCAGTGCATGTCATAGCAAGCGACTGAACTCCCAGTCCCAAGGGGACACTTTGCATATTAGCCTTTTATATACAGTGGGGCCTTGCCTTAACGAGTGTCCCGACTAACGAGTTTTTTGAGATACCAGCTGTCTCTCGGCCGATTTTTTGCATTGAGTTGACAGAATAATTTGAGTTAATGAGCTCCTTAATGAGCTCGGTCTCGGAACGAATTAAACTCGTAAGTCAAGGCCCCACTGTATAAAGAAGATGTATCAGCAAGGCAACGTATTACAGTATAAAATGACATACTGCAGCATAAAACAAAAATTCATATCCTAGAACGTTAAAGTACTATCTAGTTTCAAATAATTAGTAACAAGGCATTATGAGGTCTGCAAAAATAAGTTAGTTCAACAGAAATTCTTACTTGAAGCTGATAATGCTCATTTTCTTTTTTTAATTGGTCCATTATATTATCTGTCTGATGCACAATAGCTTTCATTCTATTATATTCATCAGTCATCTTCTCCATTTCCTGTACAGACTCTTCTAGATTTTTTCTCATTTCTTGATTCTGAACTTCAATTTTCTCATTAGCTTCTGTTAAAGTCTAAGAAAGTTAAAGACATTCTGATTAAAAACAATTTAAGAAACTGAAATTTAAGCTAAATTAAAATTAAATGGCATCATAAGTATCTGCTGGAGAAAAGAGAATTCTTCATAGATCTTTAGTATCAACTGTTGTTGACCAATTAAATCAAATTAATATCAAGAACACTTTACCTAAGGATCTTACTTCTTCGTAAACAATGCCCAAGATAGGCATATAAAAAGAATGACTTGCAAGATTTGCACCTTCCAAGATACAATTTATTTCATGTTTTACAAATACACCGTTATAGATTTATACTAAAGAATTTAAATGTAGGGCTAAATAGTTTTATACTATAATGAAATTAAAGTTTTATAAGAAGCACTGCCTTAAACTGACTTCTATCCATTTTACCTGAATTTCATCCAAATATTGAACAAGTTCATAGTTTTTTTTAGACAATTGTGATCGATAGTCACTGTCTTCTCCTCTTCTTGATAACAGTGTTTCTTTTTGTGAATCTATTTGTTTCTGATAGTCAATAACATCTTGACGAAGCTGTTCATTCTGAAGGTAGACCAAATACAAAATTCTATTAAGAAACTATCCAGAAAAAGAAAATTTTATCCTCTAAAAAGTGACCTCAAAACATATCTTTAAAATCCCCAGATTTCACCACCCTAAAGCCTCACCTTTTTCTTTAGATGTTTGTTCTCCAGAAAAGGACAGGAAAGAGTAATTAGAAATGAGAAAGGCAATATAATTAAAAATGATAATCAGAAATTAAAAAAAAAATAAAGAGAAATTCTAAAAGGATGAGATATTATTTTGGATAAACAAAGAAAGCAAGAATATTAATTATCAACAAAAACAACATCTTGATTGTGTTAAAAAGATAAAAATTCTTATCAAGATAAAGAATGTACAAACATTATTTGGCTCAGAAAAACCAAATAATAATTAGAACTGACAAGATTTCATCAACAAAAATCTTAAAAGGATGCTGGATAAATATAAGAAATAAGACAGAAATCCAGTCATATATTCAGTTAGGAAACTAACAAAGAATAGTTTATACAACAGGAAGCAAGATTTATCCAAATAGGCGTAAGAGATGAATGTAGTACTTAATGGCCTCACCTCTAGATTCATTTTCTATTTCCCTGACACAAAGTCATGTCATAAAATCAGCCAGTTTGAAAACATCACTTACTTAGATGATTTCAGTTCTGGTTACAGCATAAATTTTTTAAAAAATTTTTAAAAGTATCTTTGTTGAAACACCACAGATACTAAAATTTTTTTTACCAACCTCTCTTCTTAATTTGCTGTTTTCATTTTCTGCTTCCTCATTTCGAAGAGCCAACTAAAAGAGCAAATGAATAAATAAAATTCAGCAGTAATTTAATATGCCAGATTTTCATTTAATCAATTTAAATTTTAAATCCTCTCCAATAAAGGAAAGTATATTTAATTACTAAGGACTTTATATCAACCCAAGACATAAATAATAAGACAAAATTTTTGAAAACTAAGAATTAGGAAGTAAAACAGGTTGAGTTCAAAAATTATAAAAATAAAAAGGCAAAAAAATTCTAACCAAGGATACAGAAAGCAAAAAATATTATTCCTTCCTCTGCCCATATATCCTAATAATGAATAGTGTTCTGTCCAAGCTCTTTATCATTTCACAGTTGTACTATGTCAGGGCTAGAATACTCTTTGCTCCCAGTGAACATTAAATTATTTATAAATATAAGGTAATAAAACATAATGGTTAAAAATAAGAAATTTGAAATCAGACTGGCCTAGGTTTATATACCTTGTTCAACAATTTCTAATAAAGTGTGAACAAGTCATTTAACATCTCTGAAATTCAGTTTTCTCATCTCATATATTGACATAGAATTAAGTATGATGCATATAAAGTCCTTAGCACAATATTCAATGCATGGAATATCAAAAAATTTTGAAGTGTTGTTCTCTTCTCCACATGTAAATGATTTCATTTGTGACTCTTTTCTTTAGTTTCTCTAAACAGGCACTTATTATTACCACTATTGTGGATTTTTTTCACCTATGGTCAAATCCTATCTCTCTTATGACCTTTCACTTTTCTGCTTTTCCTCCTTATCTCAAGAAGAAGACAGAATCACAATGTGTGCCAACTATAATACATTTAAAAGTCTGTAATACATAACTAATCACAATATGAGATCCTTGATTGAACCTTGGATAGTGGGCAGGGAGACTATGATGGGCATTACTGAGTCAATTGATAAAATCTACACTAATAAAAGAGAAACATGGTAATTGGCGTACGACCACTACCCTTCCCATTGGCTAATCAGCATATCCTTATGCAAATTAACTGTCAGCCAAGATGGCGGCCGGCAGCCAGGCAGCTGGAAG